CCTGCATCCCTGGCTCATCCCTGCATCCCTGGCTCATCCCTGCATCCCTGGCTCATCCCTGCTGGGGTCAGAGCACCCCGTGTTTGCTGCCAGGGATGAGTTTTGTGGGAGTTTGAGTCTCTGGGGTTTGGGGTTTGCTGGTGGGATCCACATCCATTCCTGATCCATCGGTGCCAATCCCTGTCTCCGCCCCATAGCTGCCTCCCGACGGTGGGTGAGCTCTGGCATTGGGAATTGGGCAGGATCTTGGCTCTGGAGCATCCCCCATGGTGGGAATGGGGATTCCAGAGCCCTGGGAAGGTGTGTCTGAGGGGAATCTGTGCCCCAGTGCCAGCAGGGGAGGGATAACCCCCAGAAATGGATGAAAGAGTGGGATTAAAGCACAGGATAGTGCTGGGCATCCCCCAGCCCTGCTGAAATGACCCTCCAGCAGTTCATTATTCCACTTCTTCCAGCTCCTTAATAATTGAGGAGCCATGCCCAGGATCCCTCTCCATCCTCCACAGCCTCCTGCTCCTCAAAAGCTGTGAAACGTTTCCAACGGCTGCAGCAGAAACAGTGGATTTTGGGAGCAGAATGGGAGAAACGTCCTGGGTTTTCTACCGCTGTGGGGAGAGCTGGAGGGTCCTCCATCCAGCTGGGAATAATCCGGGAATGAGCATCTCCCTCTTCATCCCTGGGAGGGTTTGAACTCGCCCGTCTCCTTGGGGACAGTTCAGCGAGTTTCGCGATTTTCCGGCGGCCCTGGGAGCTTGGGATGCACCGGGAGGGCTGGGAGTTAATATTTTTTCCTGCCCTTATTCCACTTCCTCGCAGCTCGGCCGAACTAATCCCGAGCCATCGGGAGCGTTTGGCCACAGTTATTTCCGGTTTTATTTTGTTGCCTTTTTCCTGTTCCACTCCAAGACGAGCCAGAATTAATTCTCTCCCTAAGCCGGGAGCGGGGTTTGCCCGAGCCGGGCCGGGCGCGGGATCATCCCGGCGGGCGCCGCCGCCTCCCCGCGCTTCTCGCTGGATCCCGCCTGTGGAAAAGCCTGTGGAGCGGCGGTGCCGCCGCCCCGGCCGGGCCATGTGTGCCGTGTTTGTACTCACATGAGCGCCCGCGGGTGCGGAGCCAGCGCCGCCCGCCCCGCGCCGCCAGGACCGGCCGTAAGTACCGGCCGCGCCGCTTTCCCCCCCCCCCCCGCATTCCCGCTGTCCGCTTTTCCCGCTGGATGCCCAGGCTTTGCACGGCAGGAATTGGCCCCCGGCTCCGCGTTGGGAGGCCGGGAATGTGTCCCGGCCCCCGTGGAAAGGTGTGGGCAGGAGCTGGCGGGGCCGGAACGCGCCGAGCTTTCCCTGCCCTCCCGCGGCTCCAGCGGCTCGCGGAATTCAGGGAAGTTTCGCTCGGCAGCGCTTTAGGAGCGGGATGGGGCGCTGGGACACGTCCGTCCCCCCCCCCCCAGGAGGACGGGGGAATTTTTGCTCTGGCGAAGTGCGGGAGCGCGCGAGGGCTTTGGAAAGGCTGGAGCGCGTGCGGGCTTTGGAAAGGCTGGAGCTGCGGCTCGTCCCGGCGAAAACAACCTCCTACAAAGCCTCTGTTGTGCTGCTGGGAAAGGTCTTGGCATGTCCCGCGCTGCTGACGCCGGGGCCGAGAGCGCGGCCGAGCAGTTCCAGTTCAGCTCCTCTCTCGCCCTCCTTCGGGGCCGGCGGAAAGTGGGAGCTGCTAATTATTAACTGCTCAAATATTCCCTCCGTCCGCAGGCACCGGCCGGGGCCGGCGGGCAGGGATGTGCCGTGGGGAGGGATTTGCCAGGAGAATTGTGCCGTGGGGGATGTGTCAGAGAGAGCTGTGCCATGGGATGGGATGTGCCATGGGGAGAGCTGTGCCATGGGATGGGATGTGCCATAGGGAGGGATGTGCCATGGAAAGCTGTGCCATGGGAAGCTGTGCCATGGAAAGCTGTGCCATGGGAAGCAGGGCTGCCCCACCCACGCTCCAGGCTCTGGGCACCAGGCAAAGGGACGGTGACAGGGACACAGGGACGTGCCAGGGCTCCTCTCAGCGGAGAGGGTGGAAGTGGTGCCAGGTGGGAACATTCCCCAGGTGAACCTGGAACAACCAAAGGCTCCTGGGCTGGACCTGCAGCTGCAGCGCCGGGACATCCCCGCGGGGCTTCGTGTGGGGCTGTGGGGGAACAACAGGGAGGAGGAGGAAGAGAAGGAGAAGGAGGAAGAAGAGGTGTGTGACACCAGCTGGGCGAGCCCGCAGCGTTTGTCACCCGCCCTTGGCAAGGAGGTGACTCGCGGAGGGCCCGGCCCCGCCGTGCCTCCGTCCCTCATCCCAGTCCCGGCTCCCGGTGGGAACAGGGAGCCAGAGGAGGAGGGAAAACGAGCCGAAGGAGGAGGGAAAGGCGGCCCTGCAGGGTGTGCCCGGTGCTGCTGCGCCCGCGGCTCCGGTGACTCATTTTGCTTTAAAAACACGAATTCTTCGGTAAGGCTGGGCCGGAGCCTCCCGCGGCTTCCCGGGGCTTCCCGGAGCAGCCGGAGCGGGATGGGCACGGGGCTGGATCCCTGCTGGGGAGGGGGTTTGGCCTGGGGGGAAACCGGGGGCTCCCAGCTCAGAGCTCCCGTCCAAGGGCTGTTTGCAGACCAGGCTCCTGCACCCCGGGACGTGCCTCTGGAAGAACTCGTGCCTCTGGAAGAGCTCATGTTTCTGGGAGAGCTCGTGGCCCTGGGAAGGGCTTTGTGTGGCTTCCCTGAGATAAGGGGCATTATTGGCATTATTGTCGTTCCGTCCCATCATCGCCCTCGGTTGTGTTGGTGTCAGACCCGGTGGGCACGGCCAGAGCCCGGGCTGGGCTGCCCTGGGGGGCTGGAGATGCAAATA